ACTTCGACGACAACTTGGATGATAACTGGCAGGCGTGGTTAGATTTATTCTTTGCGGCAGTGGATCAGTGTATTCCGAAGCGGCGGCACAACAATAAATTTAATCCTCCCTGGATTTCAAAGGAGCTCCTTAAGCTTTCTCGGAAGAAAAAACTTCTTTTCAGGAAGGCAAAGCGAGTAAACACTGATCTAGTGTGGATGAGATATCGCACTTTAAATAACTCTGTTAAGAAAGCCTGTAATGCAGCGAAGCGAAGCTACATCAATGACCTGGCTGTTGAGCTTGCTACTAACAACAATCCCAAGCCGTTTTGGAACTTTGTGAAATCTATGCGTAAAGGGTCTAACAATCTCGTTTCACTTAATGTTGACGGCGTTACCCTCCCAAATGGATGATCTCAGCATTGTTGAAAGTATGAATGACTTTTTCTCCTTTGTGTTTACATCAGAGGACTGCGATAACTTCCCCGAATTTGAATATGTCACCAATTGTAAACTTTCAAACATTCTTTGCAACATAAAGGAAGTAGAAAAGCTGTTAAAAAATTTAAATATCTACAAGTCGCCTGGACCTGACAGCTTACCACCTCGCTTTCTGAAGGAATGTGCGAGTGTTTTGTCATCACCTCTGTGTTTTTTCTTTAACAAATCATTTTCAACAGGCAAATTGCCACATCTTTGGAAACTCGCTAACATCACACCTTTGTTCAAAAAAGGCAGTAAGACTGACAGGAATAATTATCGCCCGATCTCATTAACATCAATAGTGTGCAAGATCGCGGAGAAAATCGTTAAGTCTCGAGAGATGGATTTTTGGCGAGACATAAATATCCTCAACCCGAACCAGTTCGCTTACATGGAGGGTCGATCAACGCTTTCGGAGCTTCTTTCTTGTTACGACGATTGGGCGAAATCACGCAACAACAGAATGCCAACTGACATCGCCTTTCTGGATTTCTCCAAGGCGTTTGACAGCGTACCGCATGAGCGTCTTCTTTTCAAGCTTGAGCGTCACGGTATCGACGGCAGTGCTCTCCAGTGGTTTCGTAATTTTTTAACCGGTCGGATGCAACGCGTCGTCCTGGGTGGTACTTGCTCGTCCTGGTCTCCAGTTTTATCTGGAGTACCCCAAGGACCAATCCTCGGACCTGTCTTATTCATTTTATACTTGAATGACATCTCGTCAGGTATTTCATCAACGGTTAAACTGTATGCAGATGATACCAAGGTTTACAGAGAGATCTCCGACATAGCTAGAGACACAAGCATCTTTCAGTCCGACTTATTCCACCTTAGAAATTGGTCTGAGGTCTGGCAGTTAAACTTCAATGCGAAGAAATGTGAAATTATGCGAGTTACTTATAATCGTGATAAATCTGTCCCACATTACTCCCTCGTCCCGCGTGGAGAACGTCTAAGCTCAGTGAGTTCTGTAAAGGACCTTGGCATCACAATCTCGCATGACCTCTCGTGGACTTAACATGTTGTTGAGGTTGTCAATACGGCCAATAAAGTTCTTGGTCTAATCAAGCGAACAATCGGTTCTGTAAACAAGGAAATCTTTTCCACACTGTACAAGGTTCTTGTGAGACCAATGCTCGAGTACGCTTCCCCTGTATGGTGCCCTTACCTAGTGAAGAATATTGTTCTCTTAGAGAAAGTTCAGAGAAGAGCTTCTCGATTGGCCTTAGGTCAGCGAAGGGGAGAGATGTCATACGAAGATCGCTGCGAAATGTTACGGTGGTCGCCGTTGACTGACAGAAGGCTATATTTTTCCTTTGATTGAATGCTATAAACTTGTATTCGGATTGAATAGCCTTTGTTTTTACGATTTTTTCGAGTTCGCTTCAAAACGTACCAGGTCCAATCACAACTACAAACTGCAAGTTAAATCGCCTAACTGCAATTGTTATAAATACTCTTTCTTTGTTAAAATTATTCGTGAATGGAATGACCTGCCCGCCAATGTTGTTGAGATAGGAAATTTAAGACGTTTTAAAATAGCTCTTAAACCGTACATGCGTATTTCTTAGGTTTTTATCCATCTTAGATCTTAGATTTTATTCATAAGCATATATTTTTAATTTTTATTTTTGGAAGTTTATTTACATAGGGTCAACCTCTTAAATTTCCTTTTTAGGGTATTATTTGTATTTTATTTCTCATGATACCTTAAATAAAGTGTGTATGTATGTATATGTATGTATGATATCACACCATCATAATTATAAAAGTCCACCAAAAGTTCTCGAATCTCTTTCTGGGAATTCATCCTCAAAACTTCAATAAAATTACGAAAAGTCTTTGACCGTCACCTCTACTGAAACTTAAAGCTTCTTTCTTTTACCAAGTCGACGTCGGCCCAGCCTGTCGCGGCCAAAGTGAACGTCCTCTATGTAGCCGTCCACCTAAACTTAAGGTCGGTAGTTACAAGACGACGGCGCCTGCCAGTTGGTCGTGGTTAATATCAGTTGATGCATGACCATCGCTGTTAACATATGTTAATATATCTCTTTCAAAAGTACTTAAAGAAGCTTAATTACTTTCTTTTAGAGGCCGGAGACGAATTCAAGTGTCGAAAGAGGCAATTTCATGGAACTTTTAACCTGTACGATCGTGACATCTGACACGGCCAATAATTATGCAAATACGCAAAATGGCAGATTACAATCTACTGTTGGTTGCAATCCAAGAAGATACCCGCAAGTCTGAGCCTACAAACCAAAAAAATAAGCTTAAAACTTTACTTTGATATGATTTTTATACCAGATTTAGGCCGCAACTTTTGAGATATTTTCCGTCAAATCTTCCTTACCTTCAGGGTTCGCATTAAGCCTGCAAAATAGGTAGTCTTTGAACCGCTGTAACTTGAACATGTTTTGATCAAAGATATTTTTATTTAGCCTGTGAACTATCGAAGGTTAAGTAAAAAAAACTGAATCGAACAGATTTTCTGTGCGGTCATTCGTTTGTTTGCAACGCGCTTTTCAAAATCCATCAATTTTAGTCTTTGAAACACTCTCTGAGAAGCCGAGACGGACTCAATTCGTTTTTGGCTTGTAGCAGAGCTAAGAATGAGAATTTGAAAACAAAAGTAGCGATTTTAGTATACACCTACTAAAGCCTCTTCACCGACAAAAAATAAAGGAAAACTATTTTTTGTAGCGAAATCGAGTGGACCGCTTTTAGGGAGACTGCCTCTTAAGCAAAAATAATTATCTAATTGATGGATGCAAATTCTCTGTATAAAAACGTCCGTTATGTCAGGGGAACCCAACGTCAGCTTTCGGAAAATATATGTTCGGAAGACGATTTGAGATGTAGAATTTTCGGAGCGTTTGTTGTTAAATTTCTTGCTTGCTTGCCTCTCCTAGGATTTTCGAACTCCCCCAAAAATGGTATAATTGCCCATTTTTAACGGATATTTACCATAAAAAGGTCACCTAGAATTTTTGGGGAGCCTTTTTTCTGGCTGAAATTTTCGAAAAGGTAAGTTATGATCCCTATAATTTTCGGATCACTAGACTTTCTGCTAGGAAATCCGAACAGATGAAAAATTTTTAGGGGATAAAAATATGCCAATGTCTACCGTTTAAATACTAAAATACGTTTAACAATGCTATGTTTAAATGGTTTTCAACTATATTCTCGTTGGGTGCCCCTGTTATGTGTTCAGTAGTTGTTGGGTTGATCCAAGTGTTAGGTATCACTTACCTTAATTTAAGCGTCACACAAAATTTTACCAGATCCAATGCAATGTCTTTTCCACATTCTGCGAGGCTAATGGTAAACGCCAAAGTCTTATACCGTTACATACTTTTCTTATATTACGCGGGATGTAAATTAATCCCTGAGAACTATATATCAACTGCATTGCCACAGAAAACCAGTCAGCAGATTATAACTCTTTCCTGGCCTCTAAAAAAATTTGTCACGTATAAAGTATAGGAAGTTGTGTGATTTCGTTTTCAGCCGGGTACGTCTTCCACTCTTCTCCTAGAGTGTCTATCGCACTTAAGGAACAAAAACAGTTTCGACCTACCCATCTCGCATTTTTCTCCTCTCCATTGCGGACTGCATGAACAAACAAACGCATCTTTCCCTTCGTCGAACAAACAAGAACCTCCGTTAAGGCATCCAGCCATTAGGCAGCCCTGAGGAAAATGTTCATATGTTACTTAAGCTAAAATTATATACATCGTTTTCCATCGACTTCCTACAGCTTCTTATACCAGAAAAGCGATGTTTTAGCCAGTCTTTCTCGCGCAGTGGAGGGCGACGTACTAGCGACGGATTCTTGCAGGTAGCTAGACTGATCCCTCAACATTTTTAACGGCACAAAGCAAATCTAATGTTGAACATAAAAATTCCACTGATAAATTGTTGCCTCTGCGTTCCTCTTTTTTAACATTTACGGTTGTTTGCACTCTGTACTTCTCTTAACTTTATTTTCAAAACATGTAAGCCTCTTGTTAGGGAAGAAAACATTGCCTTGATAATGATTTTGCGGAACTGAAAAATTTGGGAAAGAGAAAACATGGCTCGCTCCCATACGAAACATGACTGAAATGCGTGCGCTTTTTTTACAACAACTCAAATTTAGTGTTTTACCAAATTTCTATTTTTTTAGTTAGCTTCGCTTTAACAGTTGTTGCCTTATTCTGGGTGCAGGAGTCTATTTCTTCTTGCACGCGGAAATTAGGCTCGTCTGCACACGCACGTCCTTGTTGTCTAAGCAATGAAAATTCAGAACTTTTCTTACCTTAAGAAACATTGAAAACGTGGTGCCTGGATGATCAGTGAGCTTAGTGTTATCGTCAGTTGTAGAGAACTCATGCTTGTTCAGTTCACAATTGCCCGAGGACTCTTTGAAGTTAGAAGAGGTACACCAAGAATGTCTTAAACATGCTTTACTGCACGACAATTCATCCGTAGAATCAATTCTCTTGACAACATGGCCATGTAAACGCTTGTTCTCTTGCGTTTTGATGTAGGCAGATCTAGAGTCTTCCTCGGCTGCTAAAACTCCGCCAACGACGAAGCAGAAAATGAGTGAGGAAATCATGTTACTTATCTCTGCAATATTACAGCATTGTTTTCGCGAACAAGGTGTGTCTGCATAAAGGAAGTTCCCGGGTAGAATTTGTAGGTTTCATAAACATATTTATAATTTTGTAATATAGCAAGTTAATTAATACTTTAAGCTCGATTGACACGTGTCCTTTCAGTGATTGACTTCAGTATCCTGCCAATGTAGAGGATAGGAAAATATTGAAAAGCTCGTTGCCGTTTTGGCGAACAATGCAGAAAACGCCACTAATTTCTATTAATAGAGCCTAGTATCCTCGCACCTCGCCAGAGATGGCTGTATTCGCAGCAGTATTTGCAGTAAAGGCGAGCTGACTGCTAAATTAAAACTGTGATGAATTTTAAACATCTCTGTTTTTCCCCCTTGCGCTAATTGCTGTCACAATAACGCCATCAGATTCTGCATTTCTTTTTTAGTATATGTGGGACGTTCAGGTGCCGCTTGTTAATTGATGTTAAGAACTATATTTTTTTTGGACTGAAGGTTATTAAACAAAATATCTTTATTCTTGCTGTTAAAGGTAAAACTATATACCGATGCTAATAGTTGACCTCAGTAACATCAATCGAAACATATTTTAATTTTTTGGAGGTCTCCATTACGGGCCGGTTGAGGACATCGGAACTCATAGAGTTTGTCTCTTGTTGAATGGTGAACATATATACTTTGCTGTTGAAAAGAAGTGCAGCTTTTCTCTACCGCAGCACTGCGACGTTGAACAGAGCATTCTGATAAAACGCTTTCATAATGGTCGCATATTACTGAAAAAGTTAACCGCTAAAAATTGCGAAATGTTAATTACCCAACGGCTATTACAAACACGCATTCTAAATTAAGTTACCAGCCAGCGTAAAAGTAGCATAGGAAAGAGGATGCTGCCATGTAAATTTACGCTTGCTTAAGTTTAGCCCTCATTTACTATATAGTTAAAATTTAATGATTTAATTAAAGTTCGTAACTGAGCTCGAGGTGTCTGTCCATGGTAACCGTTTTCTGTTTGTGAGAAAATTTTTACCAACAGCGAGTAAAATGCCATGTAAACTCACGCAGCAAACGAGTATTAAACTGAAAGTCAATAGACTTCAGTTCAATTAAACATTTTGGCAAAACTACAGACAGCAGAAAAGAAGGGAGGCCTTATTTCATAAGATATAGCAAATTAAAAACCGGATATTAACTTTTGCTATAAAGAAAATTTTTCTATGAAATAATACATCAGAATGTTTAGAGGTTTCTCTTTCTGTAACTCGGATATTTTGCTATCGATCGATCAGATCCTTAAAAACACTGAAGTGTGTTTCGTTTTTTCATAAGGCGAGTTCAGGACATTTCATGTCCCCTCCTCCGCCACCCCTAGCCTCCAAGTAGACCTTTTGTTAAGATTACCAAAGAGTACTGAGCGTTTCGTTGAAGTTAGATTAACGTTCTGGGCAAGTACTTTAGCTATTACCCAAGATCATGGTAAACATTTTCTGTTTGTAAGAATACCTCTCGGCTGACAAATTAACCAACTGCGAATGCATTTGCATTTAAAATCGCCAAGCAATGATTATTAAATTCAACTGAAATTCGACAGAGAGGATAAGCCGTTGTGTCACGTTGCCATGGTAGCAAAATTTCTGGATCTCAACACAACCGTGTTCCTGCAAATATGGTAGGCAAAAAACGGGAAAAAAAAGCTGTAACAAAACAGGACGCAGGAACAACACATCAACAAAATGACCAGACAAGCCATTGTGGGGCGCATGTGCTTACAGAGAGCACCAGAGAATCGAGTATTTCAGCTCTGATCATGCTGTAGTGTTATTTATTTTATAACGGAGGGCAGAAAACGCAAATTGCTTGAAATGTCCATTTTGCTTGTTTTTCGTATCAGTTAACGTAAAACATTAGGCGCACGCCCATTCTATCATGAATGAATTATCCTTCGAAACTGAATCGTTTTCGATATCGGGTCCATTTCCCCAGGTACACACCACGTAGATAGGAAAATTCTGGTGGCTCATGATAGAAATTTTATCCACAAAAGTCTAAGAGACTTTTTTTGGTCTGGAGAACTAAAGAAGATGTATTAACCGAGCGATAGCGCTAGCAAGGTCAATGCATCAAGGCCTCGGGGTTCTAAATAAAAATAAATTCACTCCGTATTACACAATGTCATGCAGAAATGCAACTTTTAATGTGATACCAGTAGTAACTAGCATATAATTTTATTTTCATGTATTTTTCTTTTATTAACTAATATGAGGCCGCTTAGACTGGTTGTAACGCCTCACTTAAGAAAAACAAGTGACTAGTCATTCTTTGCTAGTTTGAAAATATCTCCAATTTGAAAATGCTTCCAATTCGACAACTGATTTATATACTTCCAAAACGTACCTGCATGATGTTATTCCGGCCCTATTAAAAATCGTTTTATGTTTCGGAAAAGAACTGAACCTGCTTCGCTTAAGTTTTCCATCATACGTAAGTTGACTGAAAGATGATGCGTTGGTGTCCTATGTTTAAGTGAGCGGAAACAAATAATTTGAATAAGTCCTTTCACTTTTATCTTTAAATTTGTTTACTATTTTTCGTAAGGAATTATTCTTCGCTCTTGTTATTTCCAATATCAAATTCAATAAGAAAAAAAGAAGGCAAATAGTTTTGTTGTTATTGATCTCAGCAAAAGCGTTCAATTTTATTTCATCCATCGACTGGCTTTTCATGCTGATTTGGAGGGAAAAGCAGGAAAGAACTTAAGCAAAAACTTTATGCACATATGCAGAAGCATAGTGTTAATGTTTATAAAACATGTGCACTGTGTCGCTTTTACTCCTGTCGACCATTTTCTCGTTAAACGAGAGACGAAGAGACATCAATCTTACCCTCTGTGCTTTAAGCGAACACCAACGAATTTTATTTTGGTTAGCTTGAAATGTATTAACTAGACTTAACTAGAACAAATATATCTTTTTATTTTATTTTTTTTTTTTTTGTCTCATTCAATTTTTGATATTTGTTGAATTTTGTTGCCTATTTTCATATGGGTAAATTTGGGAAAGAAGTAATAGAGGCGAGCATTCGACATTTTTAGCACCCACCCTGAGTACTCCTTTTGGCAAGATACTATTAAAAACTCATTAATCCAGTGTTCCCTATAGCTGTTAGCCAAGGAGATCGTGGTAATCGTTTTCTGTTTATGAGAAAATTTTTACCAACAGCGAGTATAATGCCATTTAAACTAACGCAGCAAACGAGTATTAAACTGAAAGTCAATAGAATTCAGTTCAATTAAACATTTTGGCAAAACTACAGACAGCTGAAAACAAGGGAAGTCTTATTTTATAAGATATAGCTAATTAAAAAGCGGGTTACTGGCACGCTATTATAGTAAAAGACAGATATTAACTTTTGCCATAAAGAAAAATTATCTATGAAATAATAGATCAGCATGTTTAGAGGTTTCTCTCTCTGTAACTCAGATATTTTGCTATCGATCGATCAGATCCTTAAAAACACTGTTTCCTACTAATTTGAAAAGCTTACGAAAATTTAGACAATTAACTCAAACCAAAACAAACAAAAAACGTCGTGAGGGTAATTGATTGCATGGAAGATACAGGTGGCCGGCCGATCAGTTTTTCATGTAATATATCAAACATGAGACGCAGTGTTTCATCACCAGATGAAACACCGAGAAGAGAGTTGAAAATACGACGCGTAGCGGAGTATTTTTGACGAACTTCGAGGTGTTTCATCTGGTGATGAAACACTGTGTCGAATGTTTGATATTTCTTCTCAAACAAAATCATTTTTGAAGGAGAAATTAAGGATGCAAAAATGAGCAGTTTTCTATCCGATATCCAAACACTCATTAAACATTAATTTCCTTTGAATTTTCTTTATGAATTATTAATGAGCTTGAGAAGTTTACTGAATTGTGTTCCGTATTTTCATGAGGCGAGTTCAAGACATTTCATGTCCTCTCCCAGCACCCCTAACACCCAAGTAGACCTTTTGTTAAGATTACCAAAGAGTACTGGGCGTTTCGCCGAAGTTAGATTAACGTTCTGGGCAAGTACTTTAGCTATTACCCAAGATCATGGTAAACATTTTCTGTTTCTAAGAATACCTCTCGGCTGACAAATCAACCAGCTGCGAATGCATTTGCATTTAAAATCGCCAAGCAATGATTATTAAATTCAACTGAAATTCGACAGAGAGGATAAGCCGTTGTGTCACGTTGCCATGGTAGCAAAATTTCTGGATCTCAACACAACCGTGTTCCTGCAAATATGGTAGGCAAAAAACGAAAAAAAAAAAAGCGGTAACAAAACAGGACGCAGGAACAACACATCAACAAAATGACCAGACAAGCCATTGTGGGGCGCATGTGCTTACAGAGAGCACCAGAAAATCGAGTATTTCAGCTCTGATCATGCAGTAGTGTTATTTATTTTATAACGGAGGGCAGAAAACGCAATTGCTTGAAATGTCCATTTTGCTTGTTTTGCGTATCAGTTAACGTAAAACATTAGGCGGACGCCCATTCTATCATGAATGAATTATCCTTCGAAACTGAATCGTTTTCGATATCGGATCCATTTCCCCAGGTGTGATGAGCAGTACACACCACGTAGATAGGAAAATTCTGGTGGCTCATGATAGAAATTTTATCCACAAAAGTCTAAGAGACTTTTTTTTAGTCTGGAGAACTAAAGAAGATGTATTAACCGAGCGATAGCGCTAGCAAGGTCAATACATCAAGGCCTCGGGGTTCTAAATAAAAATGAATTCACTCCGTATTACACAATGTCATGCAGAAATGCAACTTTTAATGTGATACCAGTAGTAACTAGCATATAATTTTATTTTCATGTATTTTTCTTTTATTAACTAATATGAGGCCGCTTAGACTGGTTGTAACGCCTCACTTAAGAAAAACAAGTGACTAGTCATTCTTTGCTAGTTTGAAAATATCTCCAATTTGAAAATGCTTCCAATTCGACAACTGATTTATATACTTCCAAAACGTACCTGCATGATGTTATTCCGGCCCTATTAAAAATCGTTTTATGTTTCGGAAAAGAACTGAACCTGCTTCGCTTAAGTTTTCCATCATACGTAAGTTGACTGTGCTGTAGTTTTTTGTAATCGAATGGACTTCTTTCTTTTTCTTAAATTTGACTATCCGAAAACACTTTTTAGAAAGATGATGCGTGGGTGTCCTATGTTTAAGTGAGCGGAATCGCTCCAGCTGGAAAAAAGTTATAACAAATGAAACAAATAATTTGAATAAGTCCTTTCACTTTTATCTTTAAATTTGTTTACTATTTTTCGTAAGGAATTATTCTTCGCTCTTGTTATTTCCAATATCAAATTCAATAAGAAAAAAAGAAGGCAAATAGTTTTGTTGTTATTGATCTCAGCAAAAGCGTTCAATTTTATTTCATCCATCGACTGGCTTTTCATGCTGATTTGGAGGGAAAAGCAGGAAAGAACTGAAGGAAAAGCTGTATGCACATATGCAGAAGCATAGTGTTAATGTTTATAAAACATGTGCACTGTGTCGCTTTTACTCCTGTCAACTTTTTTCTCGTTAAACGAGAGACGAAGAGACATCAATCTTACCCTCTGTGCTTTAAGCGAACACCAACGAATTTTATTTTGGTTAGCTTGAAATGTATTAACTAGACTTAACTAGAACAAATATATTTTTTTTTTTTTTTTTTTTTTTTTTTTTGTCTCATTCAATTTTTGATATTTGTTGAATTTTGTTGCCTATTTTCATATGGGTAAATTTGGGAAAGAAGTAATAGAGGCGAGCATTCGACATTTTTAGCACCCACCCTGAGTACTCCTTTTGGCAAGATACTATTAAAAACTCATTAATCCAGTGTTCCCTATAGCTGTTAGCCAAGGAGATCGTGGTAATCGTTTTCTGTTTATGAGAAAATTTTTACCAACAGCGAGTATAATGCCATTTAAACTAACGCAGCAAACGAGTATTAAACTGAAAGTCAATAGAATTCAGTTCAATTAAACATTTTGGCAAAACTACAGACAGCTGAAAACAAGGGAAGTCTTATTTTATAAGATATAGCTAATTAAAAAGCGGGTTACTGGCACGCTATTTTAGTAAAAGACAGATATTAACTTTTGCCATAAAGAAAAATTATCTATCAAATAATAGATCAGCATGTTTAGAGGTTTCTCTCTCTGTAACTCAGATATTTTGCTATCGATCGATCAGATCCTTAAAAACACTGTTTCCTACTAGTTTGAAAAGCTTACGAAAATTTAGACAATTAACTCAAACCAAAACAAACAAAAAACGTCGTGAGGGTAATTGATTGCATGGAAGATACAGGTGGCCGGCCGATCAGTTTTTCATGTAATATATCAAACATGAGACGCAGTGTTTCATCACCAGATGAAACACCGAGAAGAGAGTTGAAAATACGACGCGTAGCGGAGTATTTTTGACGAACTTCGAGGTGTTTCATCTGGTGATGAAACACTGTGTCGAATGTTTGATATTTCTTCTCAAACAAAATCATTTTTGAAGGAGAAATTAAGGATGCAAAAATGAGCAGTTTTTCATCCGATATCCAAACACTTATTAAACATTAATTTCCTTTGAATTTTCTTTATGAATTATTAATGAGTTTGAGAAGTTTACTGAATTGTGTTCCGTATTTTCATGAGGCGAGTTCAAGACATTTCATGTCCTCTCCCCGCACCCCTAACCCCCAAGTAGACCTTTTGTTAAGATTACCAAAGAGTACTGGGCGTTTCGCCGAAGTTAGATTAACGTTCTGGGCAAGTACTTTAGCTATTACCCAAGATCATGGTAAACATTTTCTGTTTCTAAGAATACCTCTCGGCTGACAAATCAACCAGCTGCGAATACATTTGCATTTAAAATCGCCAAGCAATGATTATTAAATTCAACTGAAAGTCGACAGAGAGGATAAGCCGTTGTGTCTCGTTGCCATGGTAGCAGAATTTCTGGATCTCAACACAACCGTGTTCCTGCAAATATGGTAGGCAAAAAACGAAAAAAAAAAAAAGCGGTAACAAAACAGGACGCAGGAACAACACATCAACAAAATGACCAGACAAGCCATTGTGGGGCGCATGTGCTTACAGAGAGCACCAGAAAATCGAGTATTTCAGCTCTGATCATGCAGTAGTGTTATTTATTTTATAACGGAGGGCAGAAAACGCAATTGCTTGAAATGTCCATTTTGCTTGTTTTGCGTATCAGTTAACGTAAAACATTAGGCGGACGCCCATTCTATCATGAATGAATTATCCTTCGAAACTGAATCGTTTTCGATATCGGATCCATTTCCCCAGGTGTGATGAGCAGTACACACCACGTAGATAGGAAAATTCTGGTGGCTCATGATAGAAATTTTATCCACAAAAGTCTAAGAGACTTTTTTTTAGTCTGGAGAACTAAAGAAGATGTATTAACCGAGCGATAGTGCTAGCAAGGTCAATACATCAAGGCCTCGGGGTTCTAAATAAAAATGAATTCACTCCGTATTACACAATGTCATGCAGAAATGCAACTTTTAATGTGATACCAGTAGTAACTAGCATATAATTTTATTTTCATGTATTTTTCTTTTATTAACTAATATGAGGCCGCTTAGACTGGTTGTAACGCCTCACTTAAGAAAAACAAGTGACTAGTCATTCTTTGCTAGTTTGAAAATATCTCCAATTTGAAAATGCTTCCAATTCGACAACTGATTTATATACTTCCAAAACGTACCTGCATGATGTTATTCCGGCCCTATTAAAAATCGTTTTATGTTTCGGAAAAGAACTGAACCTGCTTCGCTTAAGTTTTCCATCATACGTAAGTTGACTGTGCTGTAGTTTTTTGTAATCGAATGGACTTCTTTCTTTTTCTTAAATTTGACTATCCGAAAACACTTTTTAGAAAGATGATGCGTGGGTGTCCTATGTTTAAGTGAGCGGAATCGCTCCAGCTGGAGAAAAGTTATAACCAATGAAACAAATAATTTGAATAAGTCCTTTCACTTTTATCTTTAAATTTGTTTACTATTTTTCGTAAGGAATTATTCTTCGCTCATGTTATTTCCAATATCAAATTCAATAAGAAAAAAAGAAGGCAAATAGTTTTGTTGTTATTGATCTCAGCAAAAGCGTTCAATTTTATTTCATCCATCGACTGGCTTTTCATGCTGATTTGGAGGGAAAAGCAGGAAAGAACTGAAGGAAAAGCTGTATGCACATATGCAGAAGCATAGTGTTAATGTTTATAAAACATGTGCACTGTGTCGCTTTTACTCCTGTCGACTTTTTTCTCGTTGAACGAGAGACAAAGAGACATCATTCTTACCATCTGTGCTTTAAGCGAACACCAACGAATTTTATTTTGGTTAGCTTGAAATGTATTAACTAGACTTAACTAGAACAAATATATCTATTTTTTTTTTTTTTTTTTTTTTTGTCTCATTCAATTTTTGATATTTTTTGAATTTTTTTGCCTATTTTCATACGGGTAAATTTGGGAAAGAAGTAATAGAGGCGAGCATTCGACATTTTTAGCACCCACCCTGAGTACTCCTTTTGGCAAGATGCTATTAAAAACTCGTTAATCCAATGTTCCCTATAGCTATTACCCAAGGAGATCGTGATAATCGTTTTCTGTTTATGAGAAAATTTTTACCAACAGCGAGTATAATGCCATTTAAACTCACGCAGCAAACGAGTATTAAACTGAAGGTCAATAGAATTCAGTCCAATTAAACATTTTGGCAAAACTACAGACAGCTGAAAACAAGGGAAGTCTTATTTTATAAGATATAGCTAATTAAAAAGCGGGTTACTGGCACGCTATTATAGTAAAAGACAGATATCAGTTAACTTTTGCCATAAAGAAAAATTATCTATGAAATAATAGATCAGAATGTTTAGAGGTTTCTCTTTCTGTATCTCGGATATTTTGCTATCGATCGATCAGATCCTTAAAAACACTGTTTCCTACTAATTTCAAAAGCTTACGAAAATTTAGACAATTAATTCAAACAAAAACAAACAAAAAACGTCGTGAGGCTAATCGAGTGCAATGCGAGAAGATGCCGGCGGCCCGTCGATCAAGTTTTCATGTTTACTGAATTGTGTTTCGTATTTTCATAAGGCGAGTGCAGAACATTTCATGTCCCCTCCTCCCACCCCTAACCCCCAAGTAGACCTTTTGTTAACATTTCCAAAGAGTACTGAGTATTTCTTTGAAGTTAGATTAACGTTCTGGGTAAGTACTTTAGCTATTACCCAAGATCATGGTAAACATTTACTGTTTGTAAGAATACTTGACAAATTAACCAGCCGCGAGTGCATTTGTATCTAAAATCGCCAAGCAATGATTATTAAATTCAACTGAAAGTCGACAGAGAGGAAAAGCCGTTGTGTCACGTTGTCATGGTAGCAAAATTTCTGGATCTCAACACAACCGTGTTCCTGCAAATATGGTAGGAAAAAACGGAAAAAAAGAGGTAACAAAACAGGACGCAAAACATGAAATAATAGATCAGAATCTTGTTAAGATTTCCAAAAGGGTACTGATCGTTTTTTTGAAGTTAGATTAACGTTCTGAGCAAGCACTCTAGCTATTACCCAAGATCATGGTAAACATTTTCTGTTTGTAAGAATATTTGACAAATTAACCAGCCGCGAGTGCATTTGTATCTAAAATAGCCAAGCAATGATTATTAAATTCTACTGAAAGTCGACAGAGAGGAGAAGCCGTTGTGTCACGTTGCCATGGTAGCAAAATTTCTGGATCTCAACACAACCGTGTTCCTGCAAATATGGTATGAAACAACGAAAAAAATTGACTTGTATGACTTTTCTCCGTATGATTGCACACAGGAACAGCACAGCAACAAAATGACGAGACAAGCCACTGTGGGCCACATGTGCTTACAGAGAGCACCAGACAATGGGGTATTTTAGTTCTGGTCATGCATTACACTACGAGCCTCAGCGTTCCGGAAGTTAAAAACTTCGTACCGTCTGGTTGCTATGAAGTGACATAATCATCCCGTGGAGTATCCATCACCGTAACACTTTTGCGGTCAACTACCGCAGCGCTCGTAAAGTACTTTAATTAAAACCGTGTTCAAAACTCTGTAGGAAGTCTGTTTATTTTTGAGTCGATTAAATGCACTGCTGACTTCCACGAGGTCAACTTTTGCATAAATTATCAAACATTATGTTAAGCGGGAATTCTACCTATGGTTCGCGGGAGAAGCAACTTCTATAGCGGCGCAAGACAAATGTTTCGAGAGTCGAGGATGTGCTCACAAACTATTCACTATGCGACGAAAGGAGATATCACTGGCATGATACCTGCATGTAATGGTAATTTTTATCAATCCAGGTCGCGCCGTGTTCGCTCGAGAACGCTGTGACAACTTCGTTTGGCGCGCTTCTCAATACTTCCAAAACATGTTGTAATCGGTAAGAAGACTTAAGCACTTAGTATCGCCAAGCCATTCGAATCAGTGTATACCCAATTCTTTGTCTGAAGATTCGCGCAAACACATATACCAAGTACATCTGGATGGAAGAGGAAATTGTCTCCCTAAACGCAGCCAGGTTATATTTTGAAGGATGGCGGCACAATTCAACGCGTCTTCCAGGTCAGCCCTAATTTATAGTTCGTAAGAGTATAAATTGCGATCTCCCTATTTTCGCTTAAGCTTTCTTTGATAAAACTTCAGTAGAAACAAAACAACGCAGACATGACATTCTCCTGCATGAGACACAATCGGCTGAAGGAAATATCTGTTTACAAGTCGGGTTAATTATCCATTCTTGCGCACCGCAAAATCAGCTAAAATCAGTCGCTGGAAACCTGGCATATTATTAAGCCTGAGCGCTTCTAAGAGTAACACGTTTAGAACTTCGACGAGTAGAAAAAAAAGGCAGTTGTTCTATATCCTTTCTGGTTCATCCAAATAGAAGTCCTGGCATATTATTATGCCTGAGCGCTTCTAGGATATATAACACGTTTAGCATTTCAACCCGTAGCCGTAAAAAACAATTAGGTAGTTGTTCTATATCCTTTCTGGTTCACCCAGGTAGAAGTCCTGGCATGATATCATTATGCCTGAGCGCTTCTAGGATATATAACACGTTTGGCATTTCGACCCGTAGCTTTAAAAAAAAATTTAGGCAGTTGTTCTATATCCTTTCTGGTTCATCCAGGTAGAAGTCCTGGCATGATATCATTATGCCTGAGCGCTTCTAGGATATATAACACGTTTAGCATTTCAACCCGTAGCCGTAAAAAAAAATTTAGGCAGTTGTTCTATATCCTTTCTGGTTCACCCAGGTAGAAGTCCTGGCATGATATCATTATGCCTGAGCGCTTCTAGGATATATAACACGTTTGGCATTTCGACCCGTAGCTTTAAAAAAATTAAAATTTAGGCAGTTGTTCTATATCCTTTCTGGTTCATCCAGGTAGAAGTCCTGGCATGATATCATTATGCCTGAGCGCTTCTAGGATATATAACACGTTTAGCATTTCAACCCGTAGCCGTTGAAAAAAATTTAGGCAGTTGTTCTATATCCTTTCTGGTTCATCCAGGTAGAAGTCCTGGCATGATGTTATTATGCCTGAGCGCTTCTAGGATATATAACACGTTTAGCATTTCAACCCGTAGCCGTAAAAAACAATTAGGTAGTTGTTCTATATCCTTTCTGGTTCACCCAGGTAGAAGTCCTGGCATGATATCATTATGCCTGAGCGCTTCTAGGAACACGTTTAGCATTTCAACCCATAGCAGTAAAAAAAATTTAGGCAGTTGTTCTATATCCTTTCTGGTTCATCCAGGTAGAAGTCCTGGCATATTATTATGTCTGAGCGCTTCTGGGATATATAGTAGCAGTTTGACCCGTAGAAAAAACAAACTCAGCCGTTCATTTTGTAGGCGATATTTAAGCGTTTTTGTCTGTGTTAACAATGTGATCGACTTTATACGCAGACCTTAATAAATATGTTTTTTTCTTTGACGGCACTGAATAATTTTAGCCGAAACTTGAGCCGACATTTGTTGAATGCCGCGCTTTAATTAAATTTCTCGCCCTAGAATGATGACATGATGGCGCGAAAATTGACGCCTCTATCGTATTAGATGCGAAATATGATCAGAGATAAATGGAATAGTGAATGTTACAAGCTTCTGAGTATCCAGCTGAGATAGGGGACTTTTAGTCCCCTATCTCAGCTTGATAAACAAAATTTTTTTGGTTGCTAAGACGGTGCGGCTCGTTATGAGAAATCATCTTTTACCTTGTTTCTAAAAAAAAAAATAGCTCTAAAACTCGGGGGGGCGGGGGGGGGTTAGGAACAAGCACTCAACAGTCTTTTCATGATCCCTGAAGCACTCCCATGAAAACGACAAAAATGTGAGTGAAATGGCCAGTGTGAAGAATCTCAACAGGAGACTTAACAGCTCTAACTAAAAGTGCAACTCAAGCTTACTTGCTTTTCCCTTTCTATTTTTGTGTTTTCTTCAGTGGCAATGAAATATAAGTTATTGTATTCAGGTTTTCGGACTGCTGACCCGCGTTATAAAAGGCGGGCAACTTAGAGCGAAACTCGGCACACACCGCTGCGGCTTTAGAGATTTGACTAAACGTATAGTTTAACTCACATGGAAAAAAACGTCATTTTTGATGGTTGAAAATAAGCGACGGGCATCACACGACTCCTGCACTAAGTCGTATTTGAAGTAGTATGGCCGTCAGAGCTTCGCTTTAATTAGTAGGTCCTTAATAGATTTTCCCTTGCGATAAGATATGAGGGGAGGCTCCTTAAATATTTCTCTTAGTCGTTGCTGGTTTTGTATAAGGTGCCACTTACCCATAAGTATTTTCTTCAGGCTAGGTAAAGCCGGGTGGTATGGTGTAACAAAAGTAGAAGTTTTTTGCGTGCGGATTTGTTTCTCTGTTGTAGGGCTGTTTTCCTGTCGGCAAATTTTACCTCAGAGAGGTACTTTTTTTAAAAAAAGCGGCAGGGTAGCCTCTTTTTAACAGGCGGTTGTGAAAATTTCTGATATTCCTCTCAAATGTGATCTGCGAGGAATTAGTCCTTACAAGCCTGAGCGCTTCCCCTTTGATGAAGCCTTTTTTCACGCCTGGTGGGTGACACGAGTAGAAGTTCGTGTACTGGAATGTTTCTGTTGGTTTGTAAATTTGTTTGCACGTCTAGGATTGATTCCTCGTCGAATCTTATTCCTTTGTACACGTTTGTGTCCAAGAACGTGATCTCTGTTTCTGACATCTCAGCCGTGAATTTTATCGTAGAGTGAAAGTTATTTGCCTTTTTCACAAAACTCTCTATTTTGTCTAGACTTGTGTTCCATTACGAAAACACATCGTCAATATACCTTTTCCAAAAAAAGCGGTTTGATGCAACTCTGACTCAATATTTGTCTTTCTATTCTGGCCATGAAGATGTTTGCAAAAGCAACGGCCATCTTTGTTCCCATGGCTGTTCCATGGGTTTGTAGGTAGTTACTACCGCAGAATTTGAACGAGTTTTCTGTTAATATAAGGTAGAGAATTTCTCTAAGGTACTTGTTGGGTATAGGGGCTTTGTCTCCATAAAAATCTTCGTATGGGTGACATACGGTGGTTACACCCTCTTTGTGTGGTATGTTGGTGTAAAGACTATTAACGTCCATAGACATTAGGACTGTATTTTTAGGCATGGAAGTAGCATTTTGTTTTTCACGCTTGGAAATTTTTGTGCCAATTTTGGCCAAGTTTAGTGTCCCCAGTTTCCAGTCCCTAATTAGCAGTTCTATAGCGCGGTCATTTGGCAGCCATTTTCGCTCAAGAGTCCTGGTCAGAATTTGGCCATTTGCGGAGGAATGGGTACTAGGGGAGTTTTTCCCATTGAAAAACAAATTTCTACAGGCTTTAAGCTTTCTGTGGATATGCGATTTGCATGCGTTTACATCTTTCTTCTGCAAAATGTTTCCTTGTACTTTTACTCTCTGTTTCATGCACACTGAGTTCGCAGTACTTCAAGAAAAATTGAGTATTTTTGTCGAAACTTTTCTCGCTGGGAAACGTATTATTGCCAGGTATGATATCGTAAACAGAAGACCTGAAACCTCGGCTGTGTTTTCCTCGTTTTGGTTTTTTACCGGATGCCTCTGGTTCTTAGAGATTTTTGCGTTTATATGGTTCGCTGAGCGGTTTACATAGGGAGCAAGTCACGAAGAAAGAGCACTACATCGAAGAAATGCAAGTCAAATTTTCCTGTTGGGGAGCTCAGTAAGCAGAGGGCTACGCTTCGAGCGGAGTACCTTTTGAAATCAAAGGAATTTGTACCTTAAAAAAAAGACTTCAGCGACTCAAGAATAAGGTAAGTTTATCTTGAAAAAGGTTTTTTTTAGTAAAAGGAGAGGACTACCGTGTGGCACGAAAATTTTGCGGGTTCTTATTTTTGCGATTTTTCCATCGATCCGCTAAAATTTACTCCAGAGTAAATGTTCTCTAAGTTAAATTCGCTACATTCATTTCGTACAGAAGTAGTGGGAAGAAGTTGATAAAATATCAAGCAAATTCATCTTGTGTGATCATGTCCGCAATTCTCATGACCACTCTGTTTAACAAAGTATTTATATTACGAGGAGAAATTTGATGCTGATCATTCATAGGGCTTAAAGGGTTAACTTACGTTCTTGAACTTGCAGAAAACTCGCATAAAAGAAAATGTTGATTTGGTAAAAGTTGATCTTCCCGCTGTCAAGACTAAAAGAAGGTTAGGTTTTGAAGTGACAGCTAACACATCCACTCTAAGAAAAAAAAGTGCAACTGTGCTCACTGATGAGGGAAAGCTAAACGTGCCGCAGCGAAGTGCCAGCAGAAGACAACTTGAAACGTTGGTTGCAGCAACAGAGGTAAATGGTGGATCTATTGAAGACAGGTCCCCAGCCTTGGATGGCATGTTTTCTACGCTGACTAAATATGCGAAGACAGCAGCTCTATCTAAATACTTTTCTTCATCAAAAAAGATGAGAAAAGTTAGTCTAGCAGTAATAAAACCTCAGGTTAAGCAGTATGAGCAAAGTGGTCATAATGTCATTCGTTCACTTTCTATGCTTTATGCAGGAGGATTGATGGGAAAGGTAAAATATGAACAAACAAGATCAGCTCTTGTTATGAAAAATACTAAGAAACACACCAAGAAACTAGGTTCTGTGTCAAAAGAAAGAGTTTTGTTTGGTATGGGTATCCCAATTCCTAAACTCCTTCCCTATGGGTTGTTAATGAAAAAAATTGATGTGGGGGAATTTTATTCAATAAAGGAAACCCTATGCCATGACCTTCCACCTGATCAACAGGTTGATGGGGTCTATAGAAACCTGGAGAACTTTCTATTTCTGCTGGCCAAGTTCTATTTTGAGACTGATCAGTACAGGAAACCTGGGGATAAACTGGTGTGGTTCAGTGAGAGGGAGGGAGCATTTAAAATTGCCATAGGGGGTGATGGGGCTCCTTTTGGGAAATGGGATCAATCTATAGCTATGTCATGGCTGATAAGTTTTTTGAATGTGGGGCCCAGGGTAGCTAGTCTCAATGACAATTTTTTGTTATTTGGAGCTAATTGTAAGGAGGACCACATGGTCGTTTCTCGTTTTACAGTGAAACTTGCTACAGACATGGAAAAAATAGAGAGCAAATCTTACACAGTATTGGGTAAGAATGTCACCTTTTCTTTTGATCTCCTGCCAGGAGATATGAAATTCCTTGCATATATAAATGGGGAATTAAGTAATGCAGCTAAATATTTTTCTAGCTTTGCTAATGTCTCCAAAGATGACTGTAATGCACTGAATGGAAAGTATGGAGAATCTCATGATTGTAAGTGGAAGCCTTGGCAGTATGCAGAAAGAATCAAAGTTGCAAAACAGGTTGAAGATTTCAAGATAAAAATACCTAGTCATTTAGCAGTATCAACAAAGAGATCCAAAGTAACTCAATTTATTGCTGTAAAAAAATCCAGACAAGAATTCAAACCATTAATTGGTAAGCTATGTGACAAGGAAGTTGTTGAACCACTTCACCTTAAAAATAATGGTGTCCAACATTTTCATGCAATGTTACTTGATCTTGCTATTTCTGTAAGTAACCTCCCCCAAAAATTAAATAGTCTTGATGATTTGCCCTCGAATTCGGCAATGTCCAGATATTTAAAGGCCATGGAACAAGATGTTAAAGCAGGGAGAATGAAAAAACAACTAGGTAGGTGGCTCCTTGAGGATAGAGCTAAAGATAAAGACTTCACTTGCAGGTTAACTGGTAAAGATTCCCGCCTAATCTTGCATGGCTTTATGTATCTAGTGAAAGCAATTCAGGGTGACTCAAATGATCCCAAGTTGCTAATGCGACTTCTGCCAATTGTCTTCATTGGTATTCGACTCAGGGTTTTAGGTATGGTAATAAAGATGAAATAAAGGAAAAATAAAAATTACTTGAGATAAAAAAAACTAACTACAACATATATATAAATATGTTGCTACCTCAACTCATTAGTAACTGTATAGAAAACACTGTTCCCTCTTCAATGATGAAGGATACCAAAGGCATTCCAATGGCCATAATGTAATTTCAATTCCAACATTTCTTCTTTATATTTATATTTCATAATTCCATTCTTCCTTTCATCAACAATGAGTTTCACTTCCCCTTTTCCAACTCCTAGCTTCTTTGTGAATCCTTGGCAGTCCTCAAATTTATTAAATAGGGCACACAGTCTTCTCATACTTGAGAATGTTATTATGACTGAATAAGGCTGCTCCAAAACATCTACACCAAAACGTGTAAGATTTACAACCCCTTTATTCAATAAATTCAATTGGACACTTCCTGTGGCATCGGGACGTCAAAACAAATCATCCAAGGATGGATTTTACTCATCCGCGGACTAAGTCGGCGATAAATTCCTTTCTTAGCACGTATCATTGTGCGCTCCAACGTGGAAGATACGGGACAAATTTCATGCTGATATCGATCCCGAAGGGGACCGTATTTTCCCTTCACAACAGCCTCAGCCACTTTCCCTAGCGCTTGAAATGTTTGATCTAGATCTCTCAGCTTATGTACATTTGAAATCCGCCGGAAAAAATTCGACTTCTGGCGATTTAATGCTCCTTTAATGCCACTAATATTTCCACTTGGTTAGGTTCCCTTTGAGCCGCCATCATTTTTTTTTGATTCACATGGACCCAATCCTCCTCTGCCGCGAAAAGTTGGCCGAATTTTAGGTCAAAATTTCCAAGCGTGTTTTGCCTCATGAGTGAAAGCATCGTTCGCTCCACTGACTGGCTAGCTATAGCTCATTTGCGTATAGCCTGAGATTCTCATGCTCACGTAAATGAACTTCTGAGAAAATGGCCGACATTTTGCGACACCATCACCGGTACGGTTTCCCCGCGAAATGACGTCTGAAGCGGAACGAGCATTGCCTAGTCCCTAGACATCATTATTCCCCTCGACTTATGCGTTTCGGGTCACGTTCGTCTCCGATATATCACCGAAATGCATTGACTGAGAAGGCCTGGGAAGACGCCGAACTGGTACTAGGCATTGTCGTCCCGAGAGCCTCCTGGGGGCCTGAGCACGAGGACCAGTAGGTTCTGGGGACACAGGATTTGAAGTCCTAGATTTTAGGACTTAGTTCCCATTCAAAAGTAAGTTGGAGGATTCTCTTTTAAAAGCTTTGAATCACCTAAATTAACAGTCATTGACACTTTGGCAAGAGTAAGTGAACGTTATTAGAAATGTTGTAGATAATCAGAAATGATTGGAAGTACTAAAATCTAGGACTTCAAATCCTGTGTCCCCAGAGCCTCCTTGTCCTTATGCTCAGGGACCCGTTTCTCGAAAGCCCCGATAACTAACAGGCCCGTTAAGCTGTTGTTGTTTATTACATGCAAGATAGAGGTTTAAAAAGTTTTGCATCTAACATAATAAAGCTATCAGTTAGTGAAACAAAATGGAGTAGATGCATGCTAGCCAGGACCCGCGATCTTATTCTTTATATTTCGATTTGAATATTTGATTTCGGGCCCGAAAAGTTACAGGGACGTTCGAGAAACAGGCCTCAGTCCCCCAGGAGGCTCTGGGGACGAGAATGGGACTAGGTGTGAACGAGCGCAGAATTTTCCGCCATGCAGAAGACGTATCACTATCCAGATCTGGTTAGTACTTCTGATTGGTCATGCCCCGCGGGGAAATTTGCTTCAACTAATCATAAACATTACCCAGATCTGGTTGGTGACACCTCGCCGGTATGGAATTTCTGAACATTGTAAGTTTTAGGCAAAAGTGTTTTAACATACTCTTTGTGATTCTCTTGCGAACCATTCTCTGTTTCAGATCACAATGGGGGAAATTTACACCCGTTTACTGACCAAAATGGCACAAAAAACCCTGCCCTTTGCAAGGCTGCCTTATATAATCGAGTACTACCCCTCCCCCATGTCCATAAAGCATGGTGTCCTTTAAGAGAGAGTCGACTGGAAAATGATTCATTAACATTTTTTGAATGAAAACGAGAACCATGGACATGGGTTTCTCTAAAAAAAGTCATGGCATAAACCAAAAAATTGTCATAAGATGGCAAGTTCCAAATCCATAAAACTGGATTTTGCTTCACACTGTGCAACAGGTTAGCCATATATATTCAATTTCTTTATATATCGAGCCTTGATGTTAAAATTACTACGTCCCAATAAGTGCTGATTCACAGACAATACCATGCAATATAAATTATCAGTAAATATATACACTTTATTGAGAATTCTAAACACTGCGGTAGATTTATACATATTCGCTACATATTCATTGCGCACCATCGTGTTACTTGTTTTACATCCCTCAATAATACAGATAAAACTAAACTAGTTTGAAGAGAGTTAAATGGACACCTATCTTGTATATTTATTGTAAATTGTATGGGATTTCCAGTATGATAGTTATTTAGTCTGATTTTGTTAGTTGACAAGCCACTTATTTAACATGATTTTGAAGCGAATCATGGATTCTCTAGAGAGATTTGCCAGCTGCGCAAGGCTAACTACTGAAAAGTGAAACCGATCAATAGATCGCTCTTAGGGGATGTAATTGATGGGAAGAGTTTCTTACACGACTAATGAATTTGCCTTTTTCGGGTCGATTCTTCAAGCAACCTTAAAAACTAAGTTGTTTCCCGGTTGTTTCCCTAACGCAACTAAATTTGTACTTATTACCATCTCGGGTGCGCCTAGAATAGTGAACACTATTTTAAAAAGAATGTCACCGGGTTACAGGTCTTATACGGTATATATCTAGCTGGTTTTGAAAACAAAAACTGTGATTTATTTAACCAGAAGAAAGCCAAAACTAGAGTTCTTATCGGTCCAAAAAGCATACAGACACTTCAAAGGCGAAAAATATAAGGATAAAAGACGAGAGAAAGAAACAAGGATCATGAAAGAGCGGGGGAGGAGGGAGGACGCAATGGCTGCTGCATACTTAGTTCAAAACGTAGCTAGTATGGTCTACAAGAAAGAAAGACTAATTATATGCACGTTTGAAAATCTAGTCTGAGAACACAGCCGACATTTAGCGACTTCCCGCGAAATGACGGCTGAAAAACGAGGGCAGAAATTCCACACTGATGACGTATCACTAGCCAGATTTGGGTAGGGCTTTTGATTGTTTGAAAATGGGCTTCAATCAATCAAAGCCACGACCCAAATCTGGGTAATGAAGAATCATCAGTATGGAATTTCTGCACTAGTTTTTTCGCAGACGTCATTTTGCGGGGGAACCAGCGGTGGAGGCACGAATTGTCGGCTGTTTTCTCAGGCTATTGAAAATTCAGGCAAATTTTATCTTAGTTGTTACAACTGCTATCTAAGATCAGTGAAATTTTTAAAAATCTAGCTAGATGTATCATGTGAAACATCAGCAAAGCCAAGAACTTAATGTTATCAATATTTCACAACTGAAATATTTCCACAATTCCGTGATCATTCATATTACCTCCAGTGATACCTAAACAGCTTGAGCCACTACAGTACGAGCCCACTCCCCCACCGGCTTGAGAATGCCATAAACCACTTCCTCCCTTAGAATATCCAGCACCCCCTGCTGATGCACCATTATCCTCGGAACCTCCTCCCCCACCGCCGAATCCTCCCACTGCCCCAGGGGGTGGCCCACCGTTATAGCCACTATTCATTCCTCCAGCACGTCCCCCCACTCAATCCTGAGCACGTGATCCACCCCTTTCACCATGTTCTGGGCCGACTCTGGCGCACCCTTCCGCCAACCAACCTGCACCCACTCCCCCATGGTAGTCAGCCGTCTCGGGACTATTGTCACATTGACCAGGCTGTCCCCCAGTCCCTCCGCCATAAATCGCATTTGAATCTCTCCCTACACTACTGGTGCCAATGGTACCCGCCTGACCATCCACCCCGTTATACCCATTAGACGCACCCCCTCCCCCTCCGGCAGTTAGTCGAGTGTGTTCCTCCTCGATCGCCCCAGGCTTTTATCAGGTAAACACCGGTCTTCGGAACTATGAATCTTTGAATAATACCATATCCTCCCGTGTATCCTTTTGTTGTTACAACAAGAACTCGTGCAAGTTTCTCGTCTCAGAAAAATTACGCTCCCCCCTCAGTTAATCCTAGTTCCACTTTACATAAAACCTCCTCGTTAGTAGCAAGGCCACCAAAAGATGTTAAAGACATTTAAGGTTTTCAATTACTTTATCAGGGAAGGGGGACCTTAAACTGTTGAATGAACACTCCAGGGTATATCACTTTTATCGGGAAGACAACGAACATTTAGATCCCACTGATTTCGCGTTATCGGTAATATGACCAAATAGTATTGTTGTTAATGAAGTTCCTATTGTACATTGCAAACGTTCCCTCTTTCCTCAAAGTCAATTTAACACTAGGGTGCCAGCACTTCATCAGTGAAAAACAAATCTGTAATATATCGCGTTTTTTCCCACTAATATTCTTTGCTTTCATCAGTCAATTTTGTCGTGAAACCGTAAATTCAGGAAGGAGGATAAGGAGGGGTGTGAAAGGTAAGCGCACTTATTCGAATGGGTATACTTAATTAAAGGGGCGCTAATGCGAGAATTAATCATTAATCATTTTAAGCAATTTGTGATCAAACATCTCTGATAAGAAAAACGAGTACACAACTAGGAGTTTCAATTTGAAAGGTAACGCTGGCGTCAGAGATGGAAGTAAATACGAGGAATACAGTTTGAAAATATATAAAGGGAAGTAGATGAAAGTGACATCTGGTAATTAGGGTGGGTAAGCTTTTTTACAAGCAAATAACGTTATAATAAGCAATTATAAAACACTCTCCTCGTTTATAATCTGCTTGCACCCTGGACATTCACTCGAAATCTCTCGATCTCGTCCACATGCACGTTTTACCTGACGTCATAGCCCAGGAGTGAATACGCGTCAAATCTAAGTGGAAAAGACCTTTTCCCATTTAATCCCAATTGGTATCAGCTGGAAACGAACCGAGAATGAAGTGCAAGTTTTTAAAGGAGTGTTGAGGTTTTCTCCAATTATTTAAAATAATTTTTCCCTTTCCTTTGATATTGCGTTGTGTGTTATTTTGTGAAGGAAAACCGAGTACATGGAATTCTCTCACCATTCAAGGAAGAAAATTAAGGTGCCTAGTTTCATTTACTACCTTGGCAAAAAATGATAAACCACAAGAGAATACGGCATAACGTAACCTTACACTTTAGCTTTAAGCTACGGAAAAACGGGCAACAAAAAACGTGCAACATGTTTTGCAACATTGCTGCAAAACTATTTGATTAATATAATGATGTTGCGCGTTATACCACCCACATAAAACCTGTCTTGCTACAAATCAGGTTGTTAACAGGTTTGAGCATGGATGGTAAAACGCGCAATATCACTTTTCAACTCGTTTTGCAGCAATGTTGCAAAACAAGTTGCGTGTTTTTTGTTGCCCGTTTTTCCGGACCGTAAATCAACTCATACTAAGTCAGCCACCATTGTGACTAGCGAGTTTTTAAAGCAGCAACGTTTTTGAGCGAAGCACGTCAATCGGAAGTAAACTTTTTGCACTGTTGCGCAGTGATTTTGAACAAACTTTTGGGCCAAACGTCTCTTTAAGAGTGAAGACACCTAGCAATACAATTGTGGTAGCCTCAAGGCATATAAAAAGAGAAAAGTTAACTTCCGGTTGACGTTCTTCTCTCAAAAACGTCGCTGCTTAAAGACCCTAATGCTGGTCTTTCATCTGCAGAAGCCTCCTTGTGTCGTGAGGAGGCTGGGGAGAGGAAAATAAGAAAGCGCGCAGTGGACGATACGATAAGAATGCAAAAGACAGAACAACAGGCCGGGCTCCCGCCTTTTTTCTCCGCTCATCGTCTACCACGCGCTTACTATTTTTAGACAAGAAAAGGCATTAAATAATTCTACTACAACAAGATATCACCTGATAACAAGTAAAAAGCAATGAGAAAAGAAAAGAAAGAATATTTGTAAATAACGTCAAAAGCAAGAAAGACAAATCTTCAATTGTTGCTACACATCGCGAGCCTCAGCTCTACGGCGAAGTGAGGGACTCATTGCCGTTTAGTGTTCATCTCAGCTAGTTAGTTCTACTCTGTCTGTGTTATAGAGCGACAAAGAAGATGACTGAAGTACGAAGGTGAGGACCAACTCCGCGTTTACGTTTTGGGGAGGTGTTCGTCTCATAGTGGTGTCTTATAGAGACTCTAAACACTGGACACCTATTTCTCCCCTAACTGTACCCAACTTTAAAATATTGAGTAAAGGGAGGGGTAGGTGGACAGTTTCCCCAGAATCTTATATGTGTCATACATTAAATTGACTCTTCTACAAGTTACTTCTATTCTTAGGCTTTTTAAAGTACAACTTGGTAACGTCCGAGATGAAGTCCTCTGGTCTTGCCTCTTTTGTGCGGTTGTTGAGCTCAGAGATGTCTTTTCCCATGACGTGGTCGAAACTCTGGCATCTTGGCTCGTGCGTACAAGCTTCTAAACAATAAAGTGAACTTGGAACTTTTAGCGTCTGGAAGACATGTCCTTTTAGCGCCATTTCGTAAAACGGCTGGAAGTCACCGCCGGGATCGTCATTCTGGGTACACGTAGTGGCATTTGGAGATTGATGACAGAAGCAAAAAACGATCGTAACAAATTGGATCAGCTTCATGTTATTATTGGACACAACGCCTAAAAATAAAAATGGCAAAATCAATTGTAACTGCTGCAGTGATGCACAGAAAAGCAACCTATATACCACAAAACTGAGCCCGAGGGTTCGCAATATTCTAATATCGGCTAACAGTAAATAATACGGAATGCTTGCCCTTTTCAAAGGTTGAAAAAAGTTGTTTCCGTTTCCGTTTTCGTAACGGTTACCTAATGGAAACCTGAATATCCGCAGACAGAATTGTAACTAATCGTTGCGGGAAACACGTGTATTCGTCATGTTTCAGTTTCTGCGGATACGCTTAAACGCATCCCTTATACTCGCGTGTCCGTCAGGTTTACTCTTGCGGAAACGCCAACTGCCGTCATGTTTCCGCAGCTCGTAAATTCAGAGGATACTCAATTATCCGTTGGGTTCCCGGAACAATGAATGCGGAAAATCAGTTTGATCGCTTTACTTTCTGCAGCCTTCATTTTTCCCCCAGATTCCACTTTCGGTGGATTATTCACTGGATTTCCTAAATGTGTTCACTTTACTTAACCATCCAGTTTCGACCCATATGTTCATTCTATTGGGTACATAAAAAAGTGAACGTTTGTGAGACAACCCTGGATCGTTTCTTGGATCCACAATGACCCATTTTCGCTGATACACACAAATCAAGCAGAATCATATTTAGGTGCATTTTTGATATTAAAGTTTTTATTAAAATAATTCTCTCTCCATTTTCATGTACATATGTATATTAAATATTTTCACAATAAAAAAGAGGCTCCTTAGAATGTATTCCTATTTTCGATATCCAAAACTGTAACTTTTCCACTTCAATAGGCCACTTCTGAGTTCCAAAAACCCTCACTTTCAAAATGAGGCTTGGTGCGCAACCTTTCTTGTGAAAATGAGTTTTATTTGGATGAGAATGAAAAATAACTTCCATATCAAAGGCTGAGCACCTACCCTCGTTTTGAAACAGAGGCCCGGGGGAACTTGGAAATGGCCTATTTCCTTGAAATGATTAAATTAACATAATAATTATACAGTCTAACTTCTTCTTATGGACACTTCTATAAGACGGACAGTTCGTTTGGTCCCAGAAAAGCCAAAAATCATACATTCCCTACCTCTATAATACGGACACCTCTGTAAAGCGGACACTTGGTTCTGTCCCTTTGGTGTCCGTATTAAAGAGGTTTGACTGTGTAATAATTAATTAACTAATATTATTTTATGCTTCATGTTCCTTTACATATTACGAAAGTTATTGATGTTGGCAGAGTCCCGCTTTGGGTGAGCTCTGTTTGCTGGGACACAAAATAATCACCAACCATTATGGGATATTTTGGCCACGGGAGTGGCCGTTTATTAAATTAAAGCATATAAAGCTGGGAAAACCAGATACACAAGAACATTATCCCAGCAAAGGTGAGGGCACACCCGCCACAGCCCAGAGCAAGGAACGAGTGAAAGGGCCGCCCCACCCGAGGCCAAAGCAAGACGACCGCCAACAGAAACTACTGGTACCTACAAATCAAAATGTACAATAGAAAAAGGTGTGCGCCGCCTGATACGAAAACCCGAAAAACCACATGGGAAAAATTGGGAACGTATCCCCCAACCAATGCAGTCACACAAAACCTCTGGGGGTTAAAGGTAAGAAAGAGAGTTAAAGTTAAACCAGGTTGAAATGATTAGAACTGAAAATTAATCGGTAAGATGGCTGTATGGCCCTTGCTCACACAGTCACCATGAATTTAAATGATAACAATTTAGGCTGAATGGTCATAGCTCAGTGACATAATGAAATGATTTAATTTGAAAAACTGTGATCCGGCTGTATAGCCCCTGCTCCCACAGTCACGCTGAACTGTACTTATCAAAAAGCTGAAATAGCTCGTTAATGTAACTGATTAAAATGAAATCGGTAAGATGGCTGTATGGCCCCTGCTCACACAGTAAACATGTATTTAAATAATAACAATTTACTCTAAATTGTCATAGCTCAGTGACATAATGGACGCATTAAATTTGGAAATCTGTGATATGGCTGTATGGCCCCTGCTCACACAGTCATGCAGAATTATACTTATCAAAAGTCTGAAATAGCTCACTGATGTAGCTGATTACAATAAATCTGTGCGATGGCTGTATGGCCCCTGCTCACACAGTCACCCTGAATGATGCTAATAAAAAGTCTGACGTAACTCACTGATGTAACTGATTCAAATGAAAATCTGTGAGATGGCTGTATGGCCCCTGCTCACACAGTCACCTTGAAACTGTACTATAAGCAGAAATCACCTAGGAAACTAACAGGTGAATAAAGTGAAAAAATTAATCTACTGTAAGATGGCCGAATGACCCTGACTCATGTGGTGAGAATTCTACATATTACTATGTCACTGCCCATATGTCCTGCACATAAGTATCAAATGACATACATGCCTATACACTTGAGCTACATGTATACCCAATCAAAATGCCAAGCAAGCCAAAGTTGCCTGAGGAAAGTTCTGCTCAAGTAGATGTACACGTAGATGCCTCATGCCAAGGGACGCAGCAGCTGCCCTTGAGTAGCCCGGCACTAGAGATGCAACTCCTGGAAAACTGATCAGCAGAATGTGTACAACTCTTTGGAACATTTCTGGCATACTATGTTGAACTGAATTGAGGAACCAAAGAGAATGCAGAGCTATTGATATTCTTAAGAGAGATGCCGAGGGAAAGCTGAAGATGGTTGGATAAAGCTGGTTGGTACTCTGTTCAAGACTGGCTTCATTGAAAAGGCATCCATGAAAGGGAGCTGCATGTGTATACCTTAAGCACCTGCAGTAAAATGAAAAAAACTATAAAAACAACTTCTTTAAAAAAGCCAGAATGTGCTACCATTAAAGAACAATGTGTAACCAATTAATAAATCAATCAGGATCTCCCAAACAAAACTAATAAACAGTAAATTCCTCAAAAACAACAAAGCTAAAAGCACTGATGTGACGTGGAGAGTAAGGCATAAAGCAACGTATTACAGTGTCGCATCACAATAAATGCAGGACTGTAATGTCCACACATATCAAAACAGGGGAGCCAACAAAACCGAAGATTAAAATTAATGTAGCTGCATGTAAACCAAAATAACGGATTACTCGAATAAAGACTAAAAAATAGACAAAAAAGGCAAAAAATGTGAATAGAAATTCAAACCAAATAACATTGGCATCTGGTTACCCTAGACAAAAATACAACAAACAGAACCACACACATATCACTGCAAACAAATCAAATAAGCGGTACAAACAAGGGAACAGGGGCCTAGAACAATGAGGACCAAAGCCTCAAACTGAGGAACATAGCCTCAATATAAAACAATGAGGACGAAGCCTCAATATAAAACATGAGGACAAAGCCTCAAAATAAAATATGAGGACAAAGCCTCAATATAAAACAGTGAGGACGAAGCCTCAATATAAAATATGAGGACGAAGCCTCAATATAAAACAATGAGGACGAAGCCTCAATATAAAACATGAGGACAAAGCCTCAATATAAAATATGAGGACGAAGCCTCAATATAAAATATAAGGACAAAGCCTCAATATAAAATATGAGGACAAAGCCTCAAAATAAAATATGAGGACGAAGCCTCAATATAAAATATGAGGACGAAGCCTCAAAATAAAATGCGAGGCCGAAGCCTCAAAATAAAATATGAGGATGAAGCCTCAATATAAAATATGAGGACAAAGCCTCAATATAAAATATGAGGACAAAGCCTCAAAATAAAATATGAGGACAAAGCCTCAATATAATATGAGGACGAAGCCTCAAAATAAAATACGAGGACGAAGCCTCAATATAAAATATGAGGATGAAGCCTCAAAATAAAATATGAGGACAAAGCCTCAATATAAATTATAAGGACGAAGCCTCAAAATAAAATACGAGGCCGAAGCCTCAAAATAAAATATGAGGATGAAGCCTCAATGTAAAATATGAGGACGAAGCCTCAAATAAAATACGAGGCCGAAGCCTCAAAATAAAATATGAGGACAAAGCCTCAATTTTACGAGGACAAGCCTCAAAATAAAATACGAGGACAAAGCCTCAATATAATACGAGGCCAAAGCCTCCAAATAAAGTATGAGGACGAAGCCTCAATATCAAAAACAAGGACAAAGCCTTGATACAACATGAGGACAAAACCTTGTATTAACAAAATGAGGTCAACGCCTCAAATACAAGTGGAGGAACAAAGCCTCATACTGAAAAAACGGCCCAGAAGTAAGCACTGGCAGACAGAATGTCGCCGACAGCGACTAAAGGAAAACAACAGAACACAACGATACACAATGCAACAGGATAAAAACACAATATGCAGACAAAACTGACATATGAACAGCAAACGATAAACCTGATATGCTGATACACTTCACTGTACCTCTGAGGTAGCTTTGTTAGAATGGTTGCAAGGTAATTTCTAAAACCTTGTAACAGTGCTGAAAGTATCGTGCATGCACGTTTTAGCCTGTAGGGTTTAAGAACGCATCGGTTTGTTTGGCTTTGTTTTGTTGTTGTTGTTGTTATAATACTGTAATTTTAATTATACATATAAGCTGAGTCCAAAGGTCAAAAATGCTCAAATGTGCATAAAGGTAAACTCAAAATAATTATGAATAAATAAAGTGTCTTTCCAAATCATAAAACAAGATCATAAACAAAGAGACCCAGCTCCAGGCTGGTATAAATAAAAATGAAGATCGGGCGAGTGTTACTGATTTCAAATATAGCGCCAGTTGGCACCAGCGATACAAGTAGCTGAAGAACACGAGGCACACAACGAAACTGTGCTACGGACACCGAACGGACTAGCATACACGCCAGTGTAACTGAAA